AATCAGAAAGAACAAAGTAATTATAAATATTGGGTCACATGTCAGAAGAATAGAAAAAATACTGGAAAGATAAACTGGTTCTCTAGGAATAACGTGCTCAAATAATAATCCCTGAATTTAGCTTTCATTCAACAATAGCAATAAGAAAGGACTTGATTGGACTGGGTGCTCTACAGAGTGTATAGGTTAATTATCAGATTGTAGTGAGCCCAGGTTGAAATTTTCCTTTAGACAACTCTTTTCTTTCTTTCTGATGCTTTTTTTTTTACTGGAATAACCAGCTCTAAGCAGCTTTATTTCGTAGATTCCTCGTGCTGCAGGGTAAAATGAAAGTCCTTTTGGCTTGCAAGGTAGAAAAGTGCTTTAGAATACATAATAGAGCTATGTTTGGTACAAATACGACATTTACTAGATTTATGATCTTGAGTAAGTCATTTTAACTTTTCTGAGTTTGTTCCCTATTTCTAATATGGAGATAATCAGTATCTCAGAGAATTTTTTGAAATGGACTATATATGTTACCTGATTCAAAGTTTTAGAGATACACATATGGGGTTAAGAGTTTAAAACATGTATCAGGATTTTACCCAAGTTAAAAAAAATCATAGTTGAAGTTTTAAGTTCTAGACAGTGAGCATCCAATATTACACTCCAGTAGAAGGTCATTAATGTCTCCTCTTCCTTCTGGTCCTATACCCAAACTCATTTTTAATAGGTCTATTCTCTTCCTCAGAGTGACAAAGTATGCACATTCACATTTAAATGTATTGCCAAGAAGGTAAAAGGTTAGGAAATGTATTAAGAAAACCATACATCCTATTATAAAGAATATTTAATTTAGTCTTTCTAGGGGTAACTTCACTTCTAGAATATACACAATGTATTTCAGACAACAGGTGTGAAAACCAGGCCCCTCACTTACTGTGAATTAATTAAATTATCATCAGGACTTAAGATTTTGGTAAGTAAATATTACTTTTAAGGTCTATTTTATCCTAAATTAACTCAGTTTTAGAACCATAGAAATAAATCATCTTCATTCCTCGTTTATCATTAACTATGGTTATAAAACATAAATGGGTAATCACTAGAAATTTATTTTCTAGAGAAACAAACTGACCTCTTAGAAAAGGTCTCCAGGTACTGAGTTAGAGGTCACCCAATAATGAAGCCTACCAGTTGAAAAGCCTACACAATTCAGAGCCTCCAAATCACTTCATAACAACTCATTTTCAGATATGGACAAACAGCAAGGTTCACCAGTTTCCTGGAGAAAAATGTCCAATAACAACAAGAGCCAAACAACAATAACAAAAAAGTAGCCTACAGGCATCAGAGACAATGTAGGACCCATATAAAAACAAAACAGAACAAAAAAGTCTGAAATAAAGTATTCTCAGATAGCTCTGGCTGGTGTGACTCAGTGGATTGAGCACCAGCCTGTGAACTAAGGGGTTGCCAGTTCAATTCCCAGTGCAGGGCACATGCCTGGGTTGCAGGCCTGGTCCCTGATAGGGGGTGCACGAGATGCAACCACACAGTGATGTTTCTCTCCTTCTCTCTCTCCCTCTTTTTCCCTCTCTAAAAATAAATAAATAAAACTTAAAAAAAAAGAAAAAGAAGTGTCCTGGTTTTAAAAAAAACATTATCAGATAAATAAAAGACTGTGTTTATAAAATTAAAATTAAAATAGGAAATCACACAAAACAAGATAAAACTTAGGAATTAAAATAACCAAAATTTTAAAATTAAAGAGAAGGGGAAACTTTAGGGAAATCTTCCAGATAGTAGGATAAGGAGGCAAAGAGGCAGAAAACAGGAGAAAATAATAAGTTATAAAATCAGTCCAAAGGCACAAATGTTGGCTAATAGGAATTCTAGGAAGAGAGAACAGATGAAGAGGCAGGAAGGAACTCTTCAAAGAAATAACACTTGATTTAAAAAATAGGCACAAGTATTATCTTGATAAGAAATTAAAGTTGGTTAAAAATTATATGGGCAACCACATATCTCAGAGATAGGAGTTCAGTTGCCTGAAGGATATTGTTATATGTTATAATTATTGTACTTTGGTTGCTTATTTTAATGGCTTATGCTGTCTTCTCATCTAAATTATAAACTTGTCAATGCCAGGAATAATATTTGCCACTTAGAGCAGGCACATATTCTATTTCTGATAAATAGTTGTTAAACTCATTTGCTTTGAAGATGACTTGAGTTTCCATTAAGCTCTGTGACTCTTTCAGAAGGTTCAGTCTTTCAGCCTTGGTACAAAAGGTAAAGGTCATTTGCAGCTAAAACAGTTACTTGAGACTCCAGGAACAATTCTGAGAATCCAGTTCTTACATCAAGTCTGGCATGAAGTCATTTGATTAAACAATAATAACTGTAAAGCTAGTCAAGTGGCCTTTGTTTAAATACCCTTAAAAGTTTTGGCCCATTCAATCCTCTCTTTAGAAAACTTGGTCCGAACCTCTATCCAGACACAGAGTTCTACGATACCAGTTAGTGGAATATGTAGGCTATGAATCAGACTCCACTGTGGAAACTAATCCTTGAGTCACGATCATAATATTCCACTGGCATCCACCCCGGGGACAAGGTATTCATTTAAGAGTGCCTCTCTTCTGTGCAAAGGATGGAGCATCAAGTAGCTCCCACACATCATTACAGTCATCACTTAAATATCCCAGTTTGGTTATCAGTTTGGGAAAGGCCATCTGGTTACCCTCACCTCTCAGCATACTCCAGTCACCTCTACCCCATTCCAAAGGGTCCCTTGGCTGCATTCATTAATTTAATAAATACTTATTGAGTATCTATTTCATGCTAGGCACTGTTCTAGGTCCTGGGGATATAACAGTTAATGAGACAAAAAGTCCATGATTTAGGGAATTACATTCTAGTAAATCAGAGCCCAGAAAAGGTTACCCACTTTCTTACTCCCTTTTCTAGAATTCTTCTCTGATAAGTTCTAGAAAACTTACATTTGCCTGCCTACTTGCTTGCCTATCTATTTCTATCTTCCCATCTTGAACTTTTTTCCTGTTCCGCTTTCTTTTTCTCATTTTTTTAACCTGAAATATTTAATATCTTATGAGGTTTCCTGAAATCAGGCTAAGCTATTCAGTAGTCACAAGGGCTATAAAAACCCATCCACCAATAAGATTTCTGAAATTGCTCCAGTGGAAGAACAGTTCCTAAGGTTTTCATAGACTGATTTATGCTAAAGAAGTACTAAAGTTACATATAAAGGATTTTTAAACTTTTTCCTTGTAGAGCTATCAAAATGACAGTTCATAACTCAGCATCGATTATACATACATGGTGTTTCAATTCATTACATAAACCAATGTAAAATTTAAATGTTCTTTGTAGTACCCTATATGGCACTGCTAGAGGGAAAGTATATGGAAAAGACTGAAAGTGTTCACAAAGAGGAAGGCATAAGACATGACCTGAATGAGCCAGAATAATGAAGAAAAATATAACATTTCAACTGCATATTTTTCAGATCTCATGCTGACAGGGAACAAAATTAATATAGGCAACAATCATAGAAGCAACATAAACTAGGATAACAGCCATGATGAATTAAAGAGATTTCTTTAAGTAGAACTTTAAGTGTGCCTTACAGATCAATATTTCTAAGTCCTTAAATGAAACTAAAATGTAATCCTGGAAAATGTAATAGCCAGAATTCTGGAAGAATCATATTCAAGTTCTTTTGTGAGGCAAGCAGACAACCTTGCTAGTGAATGTTTCTTGGTCCGAACAGTCTCTTCCGTGTTACATGGTCTCGATCAATAACTAGTCTAAATGCCTAAATTGATTGAAATATCTTTGAAAATTATTTGACCATGGTCAAAGTGTAACTATGGCTCTTTTTTATGTAAAAGCAGGAGAGGGACTCATTGGATACTTCAACAATGAACTGTACTACTGTTCTCATAGAAGAGTGATCTTAAGCCTTGCTTCTCCAAGTGTGTTTGGGCAAATAGTAGCATTGGTATGACTTGGGAACTTGTCAGAAATAGAGAACGTTTAGACCCCACCATAGACCTACTGCACCAGAATATGATTTTAACAACTGACAATTTAATAAGCCATTCTTCAAACACAATCCTTAAATCATTAGAAGGCAATATCTACCAACAAAAATTTGAAAGAAAAAGGAAAAAAAAGGAAGTAGTCCTGAATATATTTTAGCTATATCACAAAATGTACACTGTCAGCTTTTGTAAGGGGGACTAAAGATAAAAATTCTGTTAAAAATATTTCTTTACTTAATGAACAACTGAGTTTAAAAACGTGGTCCACTGTACTACCAATATCCTTGCTGTAAATTTCTTGCTGCTTTGTAATATTTTTCCTGTTAAGCACAAAACATTTGAGAGTGTTATGGTTTTGTAATACATCTAAGTCAAAAGAAGGCCTGATAATCCTCCCCCACCATAGATACCCTAGTGCCTAAGTAGAGACACCATGGATTCTCCTGGTCAAGGAGTTCTTTGTTTTGACTTACCATGAATTGAGCTACAAGGTACATAGACATGCTACTGCTTGTACTTCCAAATTCTCAGATCTGCTCTAGTTACATCTGATTTATCTAAGCAGTTTAGTTAAATCTCAGTGAAGGTAAAATTGCTTTTCAACAACTACTCCCATGCTGAACGCCTTCCCCACAAGATCTCACTCAGTTGGGATAGATCTGTTCACCCCTTGCTTTGAAAGGCTACCTTATATTTCTCAGTGTTTGTCTTCATCTGACCATAGTCTTCCAATCTCACACATGGGTAAACAAAGAAGACTGAATCACACACTTGAGCAATACTTCAGGTATTTCCTGGATATGTTGACATCATTGGATCATTTTCTCAGCACTCATTCGTTCCTTCGGCTAACTACTCCCCTGACCTCAACACATTGGCTGGCCACCCCCAGGGACTCTGCCAAGCCCCTTCTGCCTAAATAGGCTCCTGGTCCTGGCTTCTCCTGGTCCATCTTGTTCCACTGTCGCACTTAACGTAAAGGGAGAGTGGATTTACAAGGGTGAGGCCTCACAACAGCTAGCACCTGGTGGTCTCTATATCCTGGAAGAAGCCATTGACATAAAGACAGAAAGGTATGTCTATTCTCCAGGTAGTTTCTAGGAATAGGTCTTAAACCCCGACTTGTTTTGTTTTGTCTTATTTTTGGTGATAGGGAGGAGGCTGAGAAAGAGTAATGCTGTTCAAATTGAGTTATGACTATTCATAGGCAGTCTCAAATTTTCACTTCTAATTTTGTTTCTTTCAGTTCCTATTGCTGAGTCTCCATTTCGGTTTTTATGGTACATACTCACTATTCTATAGTTCTAAGATGGAAGAACAGTGAAGTACAGCCTTTCCCCACCCCCTACAAAATAGACTTGCAATGTTTTTGTAGACAGAGAATCTGTCTTATGCATTTTATATTTACCTACTACTGTGTCTTCTATATGGTAGCCACTAAATATACCTTGTCTACACTATCTCCTGCTTATTTTATGACATTTAGCAAGCAATCTTCACTTCCTATTTTACTTCCTTACCCATTTCATTCCTATTTCAACCAGGCTTTTCTATTATTTTCATGAAAATACTTTTGCTAAGGTCCCCAAGGACCTCCTAACTGCCACATTCAACGGATACACAAATTCTGAGGCATCGTATGCCACTCACCTTGAATTTTTCCTTCCCTTGGCTTCCCTGCCTCCATGTTTTGCCAGGCTCTCTGCCTCTCTCGTGGCTGTTAGTCTCCTCTTTATCTCTTATTCCACCAGCTCCCTAAAGCTCCCCAAAGTTGATGCTCCCAGAATTCTGTTTTATTCCCACCCATGCCCAATCTCCATTTCACTTTCATGGTTTTCAGTTTACCCTAACCGAAGGCTGCAACCATATTCATAAGGCCCAAGCTCCATTTCCAGGTCTCATGTCTCTCCTGTGCCCTGGTCCTGTATCTTCACCTGCCCTAAATGGTAGCATGACCAGGACTGCCTCCCAGTACATCAATTTAATAACGCATGATTTCTCCTTCACTCTTGCAGTCTGGCCTCTTCTCCCAAATTCCCTATCTTTAGTTCATGATGTTACCATTCACCCTAAGTCAAAGAGAACTTTGATTTATTTATAATCCACAGTGCCACAAAAATATTATTTAAAAACACAAAATGAGCACACTACAATCACAAATAAAGACTGCCGCTGCGCAGCTATTTTCTGTTTGCAGGAGACACTGCCTTCTCTTCAGCGTGAGGAACTATGCCCAATGGGACTTCGAACCACTTTTAGTTCTTCATCTCCTCCCACATTCCTGGGCTCCCTGTGCGTGAGTCACCCTGAAACCTATATAGTGTGATTCTTTCACATAACTAGCGTTGCATGTGTAACTGCTTCTGCCTAGAGCAGTGAATCTCAAAAGGGGTCAGTTTTGCCTGTAGGAGACATTTGGCAATAACTGGAGATGTTTTTTGCTTGTCCCAAATGGAAAAGGAGGGTGCTGCCGGCATCCAGCCGGTAGAGGCCAGAGATGCTGCTAAGTATCTTACAAGGCACGGAACAGGCCCATACAGCACAGAGTCTCCAGCCCTAAATGTCAATAGTGCTGAGATTGAGAATCACTGCCCTAGACTATCCTCCTTGATTTCTCTGCCTGGTGAACTCCAACTCACCTGCCAAGACTCAACGCTAGTGTTACCTCCTCTGTGAAGCCTTTTTCTACCAACCAGGTCCTCTTCTCCATACAAACATTATCACATCTTTTCCACTTTTTCACACACATCTCTGTTTTGGCACATCACACATTAGCTTGAAAAGTTTTTTTTGTTTACCAGTGTTTCTCTATTAACTAGAATGGAAGCTCCCCAAGTAGAGACTGCACTTTATTACCTTTTATTCCCAGGGCTTGGGACAGGGCCTGGCAAATAACAGGGACTCCAATGCGTGTTAGATGAATGAATGAAAAAAGAAATGTCTACAGAGAAAATCAAAGTATTTCTGAAGCAAATAATTCAACTCCCTGACCCACTTTGAAATTAATATTATAGTTCCTCAGTTCTAAGAAATATACATATACAAGCATATACTTCTCACTAAATTTCCCGAACTGGCCATTAACATTGTTGCATCATAATTTGGGAGTCAATATTTATAAACTATATTGGTTTTTATAGGAAAGATTGTGTTGTTCAAGATAAAGTTTACCAAATGACTCTAAATATGCTGCTAAAGTTAATAAAATAAGGACTGAGAAAATAATAGAACACTAAAATAAGTACATATTAAGACATTTATTTTAGGAAAAACAACTAAATAGATTATTAAAACATATAATCTTGAGATTAGTGTTAAAGACTTTTGAAATAACTGAGACACAGTTTTTTAAAGTTGTACTACACTAAGCTTAAACAATTTACCTACCCAGGATTAAGTAACAAAATAGGAACAAAGAGTATTATAACAAAAAGAAAACAATGTAAAGCCAAACTTTCTGATAAAAACATGCATATATGTGAAGAATAGAAGACATATATGAGCTTGAGCAAAATGCTAAGGTATTTTAAATAATACGGTAATGAAAACTCTGAGCATCCTCTCAACGTAATATAGGAGATTTAGAAAACAACAGAGAAAAATAAAATAATGATAAACTATTACACAGACTTTAGAAATATGAATAGCAATTTTTGTAACTGCATAAGAACTACCTTAGTTCCTTAACCTATTTCTTGATAAACCTGACAAAATATTACACACAATGTTGAAACATCAAATACCTACTTTCAGACCAAAAGTTATTATACAGCTTTACAAAAGTAATATTGTATTTCAAAAAGTATATGTAATAAACATGTCCAATACTGTTGTATTCTTTGACAATAAATAAATAAAATAAGCACTATCATGCAGACTACAAAGTCTCATCTTCATTCTAAGTTGTAAACACGAAACAGAGCCCTGTGGTAGACACAGGTAAAAGTTCTCACTGGATTTACAAAATTAGCCATTAATGAGCTGTTGATGATAGAGAGCTAGAAACTGGATACTATGCTGCTAGACATTAGTAACTAAACACATAAGAAAAGAATATGCAGTCCTCTCAGTGCTTTAGATGCAAGGGTCCCTGACCAAACCAGTGATTTAATTTCACGGCTGCTTGGTACAGATAGCTGACATTACTAAATGCTACTCTAATATCAACTTGTTAAATGTGAATCCAGACTCAGCATATCAGAATACTAACCCAGACTAACTGGAGTCATGGGAAATATTTTGGGAACTGTTTATTTATAAATGAGTTACAATATACCACTATAATTAGATTAATATATAATTATTGATAAACAGGATTATTTCTAAAACCCCATTATTGTTGCCACCGTTATATTTAGAAAAAAAATTAGTATTTTCCTCTTAAAACAAACCCTTGATTTATCATTAATCATTTAGATCAATTTAGATCTAGTATATGTTGAATTGAAAGGTCACTATATTTTTTATAATACTTTTTATAAAGAGTTATTTAATAAACATTAAAAAGGGAACAATTTAAAGTTCTGCTGCAAATTACACATTCTTGAATATGTTATAATCCAATACTCTACTCCAAAAAATAGAATTTGAACAAAGCTAGGCATTTGGCTGTCATCAAAAAAATAAATAAATAAAAAATAAAAAAAAATTGTGAGCTTACCTAAGTTTAAATAAAACCAATAAAAGTGTATATTTTTAGCCATACAAAAGGCAATTAGTCACACTTTATTTTAAAAAAATTAAAAATACTATTTTCAAAAGCATAAACAACAAACTATATACTATTACTACAAAATCAACTATTTTAAGGATTTTCTATAAGTATTCTAGGTTAATTATTTCATGAAATGTAAAATAAATTTACAAGGTACATGTAAATTCAATTAGCAAACTAATAGTATGTTTCTTCATAGTATCACTTCATTGCTTTCTTTTAGGGGCCAAAATAGTTAAGTAGGTTATAATATCCTAAAAGCTGGTTTTTAAACAATTTTGTAAATAGAATTAATAATTCTAAAAGATCAGAATATCAAATCTATTATTTATTCTTCTTCAGTAAAGTAGTTGCTTATATTAACATCTGAGCATTGGGTAACAATGATTACATTTACCAAATTTCAAAAGAGAGAAAACAAACTAGTAATTACTGAATATTTTATTTACTTCAAGGTACTTGTCCAGAAGCTCTTTTTAAAAAATCTTTAATATAGATATTGTGTGTTATATAAACACAGATAAACAGATAAGTTACCCACCTGCCCCCACCCTGAACTATGCTGTACTGTCATCTAAAATTGGTTTAAGTCAAAAAAATTTTTAATTTCCTGGTATTAAGAATGTTTTAGTATCCTGGCAAGACCTTGCAAATACAAAATTTTTAAAAATCTATTTAAAGTCAAAACACCTAACATACTTTGGAAAGGCCATATTACATAAAGAACTGCTTCAGTTAATATTCGCTAGAGTTAATTTACAAGCAAAATTAGCAAAACAACAAAATAGTAAGGTAACTAGAACATTATGGGAAATACTTAGCAAATGAAATCAAAATCAAAAATATAAAATTTAAATTTCAATATTGTTGAAAGAGTAAGTTACATTTTAGAAGGCATTCTTAACTGGTAGCTAAAGAAAAATAGGGTGGAAAAAAATTCTTGTGGTTAAGGGTATATACAATGAAAATGCCATTTATTTCTTCTCTGCTTTAACTATGCAACATAATAGTTTTTTAACAATGACCTAATAAATACATGTATTTTAGAAAATAATTTTTCTCGGTATTCCTTTACAACAAGATTTCCACATTTTATATAGGGTTTTTATTGTTTAATATTTTAACTAAGCATTCTATAGTTTACTTTATTTCATAATAATTAAGGAAGGGAGACTACTACTTGAGCATTTTTGAAAGTCAGAATAAAAAATGGGAGTTAGAAATTAAAATACTATGTCACTTGAGCAAAGGGAAAAATATACCAAAGTGTTATAAAATAAATTATTATTTAAAGCTGTTTTTATGCTACATAAATGTTTTATGGCTTAACTCACTTTGGAAAGTTTTTTTAATGAATATTTTCTACATTGGTAAAAATAACAAAGTGAAAAATTATTGCGGGTTCCTCAGATTTACAAATATTAAGTTTATTACTACAAAAATACTTGCTAGCTAAGGACCAGGAAAGTATATAAAACTGCTAAGTTATAATAAATTTTAACCAACTATTTCATACAGCTATTCTAATATAAATTAACATTTACCAAGACCAAAGAAAACTTACCTTACAAGAATGCTTCGAAGAATTAGATAGTTCATTTGTGAAATCTCTCTTGCTGTCTCTTGATAAATGATCAACTTTACCTTCATTTCCAGATGCAAATTTTATAAGTAATTGAGGTGGTCCCCCTTTAGAACAATTGTGCTTAAGGCTGGACAAACAGGAAACATTTGGATAAATTCCTCCCAATGAAATACTTCTTTGTAAAATAGCATGGTTTTTATTTGTCTGTAAATTTGGTCTTTCCAACTGTCCACTGATATTTATTTGATAATCTACATTTTGAGAGGATGGCAAACATGCAGGTGTCCTCTGCATAAGCTTAACACACTCTGAATTAGAGTTAAGCTTAACTTCTGACATCTCTGGTTTATAATCACCATTTGCTGCTTCACAATCTAATGTAGTTGTTTTTTGTTGAGTGAAATGCACTGAAACACAAGAATATCCTTCAGATGGCTTTTCAAAGGTAGTCTGATTTGGACTACTATTTGCAATAACAATTTTCTTTTGTGATGAGCCCTTCCCGTGAAGTGGTCGAATGTCTCTTACTTCTCCGGGAGCGCAGATCGTTTTAGATAACCGGAGTCCATTGACAGCTGTTGAAAGAAATCCCTTAGCACTAGTACCATCCTCATTATGGGCAGTTTCATTGGGAGAAATAATAAACTGGTGTGAGGTTTGATAGGATCCTTTGCTTGGAAGAGTACCTGTACTTGTTGGAGAAGTTGGCGGGGTATTTGAAGGACTCCTAGGAAAAATGACTAAGGATGAACAACGTTTTAGTGGAATTTTTGAGTCCCCGCTCACCGGCAACTTCAGAATCTCCAGTCCATGCTCCAAGTCATCCTGGACAAAAGGAATTGTACTTGTACTTCTTGAAAAAATTTCACATGGGGTAGTGTTCCTGTTGAGCACACTTCTATTGGAGGTACTGTCAGAAGATAAATTTCCACCAAAAAATGTATCATCAGTTAGTGGAAAAGTATAACCACTGCTGTCACTGGTGATACTGTTGGTGTATGAACCTCCACTCGCGATACTTGTGCATGACCCATAATCACTACAGTTGCTGTTGTAAGACCCATGCTCACTGGTCGAAAAGTTACTAAGGCTACCACTGCAAACGGCAGAACTGCTCAAAAGGTTACCATCATTCACAGCATTCAGTTCACTATCAACCACAGCATTGCTGTAAATGCTGTCCTTCAGGGCACAGGTAAATGAAGCATCATCACCATCAGCTAAGACACTGCTAGACTGAAGACATCTACTGTACCTGGTTGTCGGCTGTAGTGAAATCTGCAGACAGCTGCTCTTTTTATTAACATTTTCAGGTGAAGGAGCAGATGATCTCTCCTGAGACTTAATGTTTTCCTTTATTAACGGAGCTAGTGCAGTCTGTCTGGGAGTCAGCTTCATTTGAACAACGTTAGATGTTGAAATCCGTGTTGGTCTTTTGAAGCACATGGGAACATTGCTATCCAAACCATCTCCGGAGGTTTCTGACAAAGGATAAGTATTACTTCTTCTGGCTGCAAAATGCAATCGTAAGCTTTGTGCCATTTGTTCTCATTTCCAAACATGTTAAGGGCTGAGAGTCATAACAAAGATCTCTGTCGGTAGACAGGCTAGAAGCAGCTGCACTGCGTCGAAAGAAAAAATCATTTGTGGTGCCCGAAAGAGCTCTTAAGCAGTAGTCTTTATCCTAAGTAAAACATTAGATACCAGATATCAGAGAAAGAAAAAGGCGACCCATTCCTGAGACTGACGTTTCCAAAATGTCTTGAATTGCTTGTAGTCAAAATGCCTTCTCTTACAAAGCACTTGATTTCCAGCGACCTTTAAGCTGAGCTCAGCTGCAGTACACTGCCTCAAACACTGCCAACCTTGTTTCAATTATACCTTCTCCAATTTGCATGAATGAGTAACACAAGAACAACAATCTTCTAGCATTTCAAGTTGAAACAGTATTTTTTCACTCCAGCTCTATTAAATGAACATTTAAGTACGTGAATCACAGTGCCTATACTTTCTCCAGCGGAGTTTGACCACTAATATTTTTACCCATAGGGATAAAATTACAGGAAGTTGGTAGGAATGAAACCCCATGTAATTGAGTATCAAATCGAGGATTGAATTTCCAAATAGTAGCCATACTAGGAATCTAGTCAAGTTAATGCAGAAAGGAATAGAGACTGTTACATTTTTTAAGGTAAGTTCAAACAGTTATGCAATTTGGAAATACCAAAACTGTGGGGTGAATTAAAAATCTAGCATTAAATCAAATAGAGAAATATTTTAGCTTCCAAAAACACTTCTTATACAAAGTGAAAGCGTAAGGACAGAAATACAAAATTTGCCTAGTAATACTATTGCAAAAATTAAGCATACAGCTGAGGGGGAAAAAAAGTTTAAGAGAAGCTGTCACCAAGCATTTTCTCCTATAATTTTAGGGCCTTTTCCAGCCAAGTAGTACAGTCTTTAAATGATGCCATTTATATTTTGACTATTAAAACTCTGCCAAGAAATAGCCTAAGCAAACATTCCATTAAAAATATATGCAGATTAGACAGAAAAACTATACCCCAATATAGTCTGAGCACACAAGATATTTTATTCCACTGTCTCTGCAATTCATTCACTTAAGAGAGTGTTTTGTTAAGTAAAGAAATCTAAAAAGAATTTAACACATCAAATAAACATATCTCAATGCCAATTCTGTTCTGAAAAACTCTAAGAGCTCTTTGCTGGCCCCTACTGGTGCAGTGAAACAATCCATCTAGCTGTCTGATATCTATAAAGAAACACACACCATGCTTCATATTTCTTTATATAAACAAAGTACATACTTGTTTACATTTTTGAGTACTAGCACTGCCCTCGAGGTGGAATTACTACTGCTGATAAAGCTCTCATAGTAGGGAACAGAAGACTATTTGTCCTCTCAGGGGTTGTGATTTTGTACATATATTTTTTTCTGCTTTATATTTATTTAACCTTTACTTTATTTTCAGTTTACTAGGTAATAAAAGTTTAATATTTTAATTTCTGCCCCAAATGTCATAGCCCAAGGTTGGTACCCTATTTGAAAGAAACAAATTTATTTTTAAATAATACTCTAGGGTATATTTAAACCCCTTACCTGAATTTTATAGCTGGAACTCCAGTAATAAATATATACTGGCTCATTCATAGGAAAGTAAAAGGTAAAATAGTTCAGTTGTTTACACCACATGGTACTACACCCAAGTTGTATTTTTCTAAGTAAGTTTTTTTCTTGAAGTAAAAGCAAATATGTAAAATAAATACTTGCACTTTGTTTTAAAAAGAAAACTCTGTAAGATAGATCTGTTCTCAACCACAATTTTCTAAACAGTATTTTAATCAATTACGACATTAAAAAATAGAAATATGGAATTAATTAAATTATATTTCTAACTAGAATGAAACAGTACTAGTTTTAGAATGTGTATAATAATTGTAGACTTAGTAATAAAGTTATTACATTATGTTGGTTTTGTATAACCTATTTCCTTAATGATTTTACAGACTTCAGTAAATATTCCCTTATAATGCTTTTTCTTTATACAAAGAAAGTCCTAATTTTTCCACTATACCTTCAATTGACTTCAGCTTTCCTTCATGAATTAGGTTGGGGGTCTAATAATTCAAAGAATGGATCACTTCTAATAAAGATCTAACCAATGAGATCTAACTGTTCAACGCCTGTGACTTAACACTTCCAGTTCATAAATAAGCAAAGCTCCTCTGCTGGTTCATATAAAATAATGAACCTCAAGTATTTGGCCAGATAAATGTTTTCTCTTTGGTAAGCTTCACTATAAACATCAGTTTCATGTCCCCTAAGTAGATTTTAAGCTTCCTGGAGTGTGAGGGCCATAACCAAACATTTCTCCTGAGTTCATGCTGGGCACAAAGTGAGCATGAAGTAACACCAGAGAGGAGGCTGGATGGATGGGAGAATGGTCACCACCGTTAGTTACTCTCAATGCCTGATGCTTTCTTTGAGGATTTTTTTTTTTAAAGTTGATCCAGCTATACTTTAAAGAAATGTCAAAGAGCACTACAGCTGGACAAAAAGGAATAATGCTTGAAAAATTTGCAAGGGCTTCAGCTAAAGAAAAGTAAGGTAGGAGAACCACATGCACTCCCTAACATTCCTGTCTCAGTTTAATTTTAGAGAGGCTGAAGAGTCTGCATTGCAGATGCTGGTCTGAGATTGCACAGGACCTGTACTGCAAATATAGCAGTTACATGTAGAACCTGGGGAACTTGTAAAATGTAGCCCTTTAACCAAACAGATGCCAAAAGAAGGACATCAACCCAAGTGGAGAAGAGCGGAGAGTTGTGGCAGCCCTCACCTAAGCAAGTCCCAGAGAATTTCATATTCTGAAATAAAACAAATCATGTCATAGGATTAGACTAAGGCTCAGGACCCCACATTCTGACATGTTTGGTTATTGATTATCTACACAGAAAATAACAGGATGCTCTGCATGCTATGGACAGGCTCTATGATAACCCTAGTCATTGACTAGAACTTTGAAGGCCAAAGTCCACCATGTTGATGAAAATGTATGTCAGCTTTGCTGGGCTATTTTGCCCAGGTGTTTGGTCAAACACCAGTCTAGATGTTGCTATGAAGCTATAGTTTTAGATGTTATTAACACTTAAATGAACAGATTTTGAGTAAAGGAGATTACCTTCCATAATATGGTGGGCCGCATTCAATCAGTTAAAGGCCTTAATCAGCAAAGACAGGTTTCCTGAACAAAAAGCAATTCTGCCTCAATACCACAACACAGAAACCCCACCAATTTATTGGCCTGCCCTAAAGATTTCATACTCAAGACTGTAACATCAGCTCTTCCCTGAGTCTTCAGTCTGCCATCTCTGCCCCACAGAGTTTAGACTGGACAGTCTCTACAGCTGCATTAACCAGTTCCTTAAAATACCTCTCCCTCTCCCTCTTCCTCAGTCTCTCTCCTCCTGCTAGTTCTGTTTCTCTGTAGAGCCCTGACTCATACAACCACTAAACTTGACAAGCACATCATTTCCACCCAGAAGACACACTACAGGCATCTCCTAAAGCTTTGGAGGCTGAGTGTATGTGGGTGGACCTCAGATCAGTGACACAGAAACTCCAACTTTTTCATTGGTGGGTGGAATTGTTTTAAAGCCACAAAATTCTGAAATGTCCCATTACTGGTAACACCACCATCACTATCACCATCACCAAACTATTATAGTTTATAACCCTCAATGCTTAAAATTGGCTGAAAAAAAGGAATATTTCTCAAAACAAATATCATTATATTGCAAATTTTCCCAGATGACTAGAAATTGATCCTGCTTAAAATTATGTCTGTGTTCTTCATTGTACATCTCCAAAGAGTATTTGCTAGGGAAAAAAAATACATCCTTAATTTAATTGTGAATGCTACATGAGAATAAAGATAAAATGACATTTACAGCAGGGTAGGCCATTAATTGCTGTATAATCAAGTCTGTTACTCCACTGATGGCTATAGTTTGCATTCCATCTCAGGTGAGTTGTACACTTCAATTACCTGCCAGAACTAGCAACAAACCAGAGGATTAGAATGACACATACCACCCTGTTCTAATTATTTCTTGCTCTCTTTTTCTAGTAAAGTGAGCTTCCTGAGAAAAATCTGTGTTTCTAAGGCAAAGCAGAATATTTAACATAGTAGCTATCCTAGTACACCCTAGTGAATAAAAAAAAAAAAAATGGTATCAGAGAACCATAAATGCATGAGTCCATGAATGTTAAATAACTATATTTGAATCATGATGAAAAATTTTCTGAGTGCTTTGATAGCCAGTGTCTAATTTTATCATCACAGTAAATTTATCAGATAGGAAGGGTAAATGTTGTTATCCCCATTTTTTTTAACATGAGAAAATATTTTCAGAAGGATTGAATGACTTGTCCAGGGTTACAAGCTCAAGGACCAAACCACAGGTGGGGCTGAAAGAGGACTGACTCCTTGGTTTGGGGATCTACAATACCCTAATCAACGCAGTCTTTTGATTTTGCTTTTAGCTGTAAAGGTTTTTTAAATTTTTATATATCACATTTATAACTCCAGAAATATCCCATTGTTAATATCAGATGCAATTCTGTTTTTCTTTTGACCTATCATGACACCCTGTGTAGTACTTTATACATAGTAAGTGCTCAAGGAGTGTTAATGCATCAATCAGAGAATGAAAAAAATCAGTTTTGGCAACGAAGAAAGAGTCACACCATACTGAAGTTAGTGGCAAAAAAGCCTTGACAACTAGGGTGAAAAGCACAAACACAAACTATCCTTCCTTGTGGACAACATGCAAATAACCCACATAAAATAGTTCACCAATGATACACCCAAGAATCAGTGAGAAATTCACATCAGTGTCAATAACAGCAGGAAAAATAACACAGTAATACCATAACCCAGCAATTCAAACTCAAAATATGAATCTTAGAGATACACTCATAAATGTACATCAGGAAACATAGCAAGAATATTTATCAGTCAGTAATGGCAAAAAACTGGAAGCAACACTAACATCTATTATGGTAGATAAATGCCTAAATTAAGATATTATGGGATTTTCAGATGAAGAAAAACTATGCATCAGTGAAAATGTGTTATAGATCAATCCTACAAATATAACATTAACAAAAAAAATGTTAGAGGAATATATACAGAGTGATACTATTTTAATAAATTCAAAATTATGCAAAAGGAAACTTTTTTTTTAGGGATGCATACATACAGCAAAGAAATTATATTAAAGACAATACAGTACTTGTGGAGGAAGAAAAGGAGATGCTATTGGGAAAGAGTACAAGGGGTCATGATGATTTTAATAATGTTCTAGTTCTTAAGTTGAATAATAAAGTACACAGATATTTGTCTTATTATTTAAAATAAAAATTTATATTATATATACTTTATATATATATATATATTTCATAATTTAAAAAAACACCAATACTAGTAAGAAGACTAGACAGGGTGGTAAATACACAATACAATAAA